GCTCTCCACATGATCACGTCCACTTTGAACATGCATTGCGTCTCTAACCAATTCTCGCCCAGGCTCTCACCGCCGAGCAGAGGCGGCACCGTGTTGAAATCTGCGTAGACTTTAACAGGCTTAAGGTGATCCAACCTTTATTTCCAGGATGATCACTGGCAGTCTACAGGCAGCTCTAACCTAGAAACATAACAGCAGACCCTAACATCTCCAAGACCAAACTGGAGAAGGCAGGGCAGGTCAGGAGCTCGAACAAAACTACGCTGGTCACTTTTTGTGACTTCACGGGGTTGTTAACCGCAAAATCGACCCTTAAGGACGCACTATCTGATCGATGCCGAATTTTAGTTTCCCTTCTGTGGCGTCTGAGAGAGGACATTCGGCGACAACAACCTGAATTGTGGCGCGTGGGAATTGGATTCTTTAACGTAACAACGCCTCTGCTCACAGTGTGTTGAAAATGCGGGGTTTACTGTGCCACACCAACACGATCGTTGCTCCACAATACTCCCCCCCCCCCTCCTCCCCCCCAACTCTCCATAGAAGTCACTCCCTGCGACTTCTTCCTCCTCCGCACGATAAAATGTTTGTTTTCTTTTTTCATTTAGGTAACTGTTCTGAGAAAATGGATATAGCTATCCTGGTGGACACTTCAAAAAGCATGACAAAAGAGCAAAGAAGTGTACTAGCTAAATTGATTTACAGATTCATAGACAAATACCCAGTCTCTCCTAAAGGAAACCATTACGCTTTTATGACCTTCGACCGTTACGCAAGAATCCACAACAAGTTTAATAATCAGGGCCGCTACAATCAAAAGGCCCTTAAACGCTTGATCGAAGAGAAAATCCGTATTTCAAAAAGACTAAAATGGGGAACTCGTTCAGATATTGCTTTATACCGGGCAGCGAAAGAGCTGTTTACTAAAGAAGGAGGAGACAGAGCAGACGCAAAAAACATCCTTCTTGTCTTCACGGATGGACTACAGCGTATAGCAAAAAGGGATAAGGAACCCTTCAAAAATTTTTCACAGAGCACAGAAAAACTGGAGGTAAGTCATTATTTTCTGGATTACTATTAAAACCCTAAATATGCCCCTTCGATTTACACAACCCCCTAAATAACCTCTGACAAAAACCGTCTCCGTGTATAAGCCCCTGACATACGTGAGAGCCCCTTATATCAGGAAACTTTTTGCTGTTAAGTCAGTTTACATTACCAGTAACAAGAGGAAACTTTTCTAACATAGTTTATCAGAAATACATGCTCAGCAGTTTTTGAAACGCGAATTTCCTCCCACGCCCCTTTAGGGAGGTAACAATAAAGTATGTAAGTGTAGTATGTAAGCCTCTCCATAAAAAAGCCCTTCCGATTGCAAGCAAGTCGTGTTGAAAAACGTGATTAAAAGGGCATCGGAATTTCCGCTCATTCATCACTTGCAGTTGTATTTCCATAAATTACTAAATTATCTAGTTTTGTTTAAAATAATTGTTTTGTGCATTGATCTTTGCCTCCTATCATGTACAAGTTTGTATTTTAATTTTTTTAAGTGATCTTTTAGAGGAAAAAATAACCGAGAATGAGAGACGACAATAGCAAGAATTGCGAGAGCCTACATTCAAAGAGAAAAGTTTTTCTCGTAAAAAAGTGAAAAACCACCTCGGAAATTGGGGTGGAATAGTTTCGTGTATTTTTCTGTCGATGAAGAGAATTGTGAAAAGCCTGCTAGACTACAGCGGAAGGGGAAAAACAGAACAAGATGTAAGCTGTTAAAAGTTGTGCTTTTTATCCGAGCTACTTTGTCTTCTAAATGAGCATACTTAAGCTTATATTCAAATCGGTCATTTCACTTAAATTCATTCATTTTTAAGTGTGCATTCAGAACAAAAAGTCAATATTACCAACAAAAGTTTTTAATAATAAGGTGATGCTTCGTTTCGATTCGTTTAATTTGTCTTTCCGCGGTGCATGTGTAGCAGCAAATCTTAGCGTTTTGGAAAGATTCGTAATAAAAAGGCCGCCAAAATGATGGATGTCTCAGTATGTATACAACAAACACAATACCGCGTGGAAAGTGCTTTGAACGGTATATACGCACTCGTTTTTGTAGCAGAAATCTCCGTTAACAACTCGTGCGTAAATGCCGTACGCCCGCACTTTCCATGAAGTATTTGCGTTCGAGGTACGAGAACGCAACCCCTAATTTGTGTTGGGTGTTCTGAGCATTATTGGGTGACCTGTGCAATTAATAAGGGAGGTTTTTTGAGATTTCATCTTCGTTCGTCGTCGTCGTCGACACACATTTGCCTCGCTTTGAGGCGCTTGCTTAAGTTTTGGCTCACTTTGACGCGCTAACTCATGTGGTGATTCTTGTGTCCTCGGCGTTCATCTTTCAAAGGTTTGCTAAGGTCTGATATTCTTCGTAAAGCGTTCAAGTGTTAAAAAGTGTGAGTCTTCGTAAAGCGTACATCGATCTGTGATTGCTGAATCGTCTAAAGCGTTCATCTTTCAGGAGTTTGCTGTTAAATTTTACTTTGGAGTAAGCCTTCATATTTTTCAGCATGATTCGTCACTGTCTTTGGAAAATGTCTGCGACTACTGGTGCATGCATCAAACCGGGTTTAGTTCGGCGGCCGTTATGCCACAAAGTAAATTTACCGAGTTGTGTAGCTCGGCGGCCGTTTTGTCACAAAGCAAATTTACGAGTTGTGTAGCTCGGCAGCCGTTGTGCCACAAAGTAAATCTACCGAGAAGTGAAGCTCGGCGGCGCCATTTGACCATGACTTCTGATATTTTCGGCACCCGACAAACGAACGCTTTAACTCTATGTTATTTATTAGGAAAAACTTATAAATTAGCCCAGAGTAGCACCACTCTCGAGTCACTGAAATCAACACGCTCGACCAAATTACTGGAAAAGTTATTGACGTGAGCCGCATACACGTTCCATTGAAGGCTTTGATAGGGTTAGTGCGAAGTTTGAATTCAGATGTGAACACTTTTAAACCAGTAAATTCAATGTAATTCATTTTGTCAACAAGTTGATGATTGGATGCTGTTAAAAATAACAGAGAAAATTATCCGAAGAAATGTTTTTGAAGAAAGAAAAAGAATCCCGGGTTAAGAACTAATCCGCCTCTGAGAAACTGCGCCCTGTAACTCGCGCCAGTAAAACAAAATGTTCCATTTACATGTCCGACGCTGGCCAATGTCTCCTCCGATTCAAAGCACTTGACACCGAACCATACGATATCTTTTGAGAACGTCCTTAAAATGATACACAGTTTAAATAGAGGTTCGCTGTACGCAACCTTACCTTCAAAATATGCCATAATCATATTTATCTACATCGCAACCACCCTTCCGCCTCAACAAACATATCGAACGCACTCTTTCCACGCACTCCCTTTCGTAAACGGCCGTTGTCATTTAACACAGTTGATGCCACCATGGGGACCCAAGCCTTAGTCATGATAGATGTATTATTATATACACTTGTATTCCCTGGATCAAGTTACAAAAAGGCAAATACGTTTTTGAATAGTTTTAGAAATAACGACGTTGCAGCCCAAGTTTAATAGAGAGGAGAAGTTGTACGTCACGTTGCCATGGTAGCAAAATTTCTGGATGACAACAAATCAAAACCTCACTTAAAAAGTGGAGTCGCACTGTTTCAAACTTCATCGATCTTTTTTAATTTCATTTAATTTGTCAAATTTTGGAGAAATTTTCTGGATTGAATCTGAAAAGACCGTATCTAAGTTAAGAAAAAAGAAAAGAAAATTTTTGTGTTGTGTTCACCCACTCGACCTTGAAGAGGGCGGTGAAATTAAGAAGTTTCATGTCGCAGTCGTGCAACAACGGCGAAGAAATCATGTACAAAAAAGCGTGATGCACGTGCAAGTTGTTCTTTTACTAATCTAAACTTACTGCTTTTTTGCTGTTGCAGAGCTCCCTATTGTTGTAATCCAGAAACTTACCATAGTAACGTGACGTCACACTTCTCTTCTCTATTTTCATTAAAAGTTGTCGAAAGGGTTAGGGTCACCTATTATGCACGTCTATTATTGATGTTTCGGTTTAGAAAGATAGTTTGCTAGTTTATCTACTTAAATGTTTCGGACTTTTGGCGGGTTGGTGTGGTAGTCTAATGGAAAGGAGAGAGAGATTCGGTTACGAAAAATCCGAGTTCGAACCTGGGTTGAGTGTCTTGAAAATAACAGCCTCCGTTGACGAGAGGGAAATGGAGCCGATGTCATGCGCCTTTCAATCACCCTCTTCCTCTCCTCAAATCTTTGTAACCAGTTTAGTTTTGATGTTTATTTGCTTCACATTGGTCCTTACTTCTATCCAGAAAGAGGATGTAAGCATCGTTGTCGTTGGAATACTCGGCAAACGGTGGGAGAACAAAGAATACAGAAACAAGATGAAAGAAATGGCTGGTAAAAAGGGACAAGTGCTCAGATATCCGGATTTTGACATTCTGGCCAAACGCTTTAATGAAGTATTAGATGCTTTATGTCGTAAGTATTTTTTTTTTTTTTTTTTATAGCAGATTTCTCAAAGACAAAGCTACGTCAAATGAGAAAGAAATAGTGCGCAGAAAGGACTGAGCCCGACTTCCGGTGCTGAATTTGTTCCTCTGCGATTGGTCAAATCGGTTTTTAGACCTGCGAACAACGTGGTCACTTTCGTCGCGTTATGTTCTCACAAGCGAGCAAGATGAATCAAAATCTGTGTTCTTTTAGGCCACCCGAGCAGGCAACATAGCCTTTCTTGTCCGTTCGAGGATTCTGGCTCTGTTCCCGCGAAAAAAGTTATCGCACAGAGCATCGAATCGAATACTCCAAATAATCCTCGTAGCAGCATATAACCTACTAACGTAGACATACGTTTTAAACAGAGTGCTTTTAATATTTTGCGTGTTTTTCAGCGGTGAATGGAGGTTACACCAACTGGACGATTTCAAATGCAGTGTGTCGTGTGGAGGAGGTGTAAAAATGTTGACAAGAAGCTGCACCAATCCTCCACCAGCCAACGGTGGAAAAAACTGCGATGAATTGGGACCAGCAAATATGACAGATTCTTGTAATGAACAAGAGTGCCGTAAGTGTTTTACTGTTTGCTTTGTTTCACTCCCGAAATGCAAATAAGATGGTTAATATTGTTTTAGAACAAAGTCTGGCAAGAATCAAAAATCATATTTTCCTTATCGCGCAGTCTTGGGATGTAAAGCCAAAATTAATGCCTTATCTCTCATGATTTTCGGCACAATTTTGAAAACGATCAAGGTTTTTGCTTTTTGTTAGCGCTTATCATTACCAGCATATTATCGATATATTTTTAGTTTTTTTGTTATTGTCAAGCTCTGTCCATGGTTCAGTCTATTCAGTCCTATACCAGAGCTGCGTTGTTATCCGTCTTGTACTGAGCATATCGACCGTTGAGTCGTTCTATCACCGGTTCCTGCTTTCACGGGAAACAAGATTATGCCAGGCACCTTGCAGATAGGAGAGAAATAACAGCCACTTGATAGGCGGGCCATCCAGATCCCGATTAAACTGTTAAAAATCCGAGCCTGAAACAAAACAAAGGCAAATACAAGACTAGGGGCCTGAGATTAAAAATGCCATTATTAGATGATTGCATACAGTTAAGCAAGACGTTGTCAGACTGGGCGTTCTTGTATCAGGCGTATGTTAAGTTTTCATGCGTGTCCGGGTTGTGTGAGTTGTGCAGTAGTGTTGGTTGAGATATCTGAAGTGGAAGACAGGAAGACGGGAAGACGAGGACGCGGAATTTCAATTTACCACAAGTCGCTTCAAAGGAAAGACTCGCCTCAAAATTTCTAACATAAACTAGTTCGCCGAAAGCGCCACAAACGAATACTATCAAGAGGCGCATTAACTTTGAACGCAAAATCTCTCAAAATCGCTTATTATAATTATTTCCAGGAAAACGACAAAAGTTAACCGTAGATAAGGTAATAAAACTTTTATTTAGCATTGATCTATGCACACATTTAGCGATATGTTTCTATAGATAAAGCAAACTGTAAATTAAGTGCATGTGAGAGTATAGAGATCGTTCAGACTCTCAACTATAGCCAAACCTGCCAATTCCAATTATTTCCGAGAGATTTATGTCAAAAAAAATCAGAAAATAATCACCCGGCATCTAAGGAGGAATTTCCGTAACCTTTCTCCAAATTGAAAATCACGATTGTCTTAGCAATTCCTTGTAGCAGTTTCTAAAGGACAAAAACGGGCACAATTTTTAGAAGATTTGGGCGTAAAAAACATATTGTTTTACAATAAATGGAGGCCAAATGAATTATTTTTGTAAAATCTGGAAGCCCATTAGTCTAACAGTTCCTCGCATCACTTGGCTGACAATCCATTTTGTAGCCACCATGTTGTTTGTCATACATGTATTTCATGTATAAGCTTAATTTTATTGTAGTTTTATAAGATGTAACTGAATTACTATGAATTTATTTATGATACCTAAATTTTATTTATGATTCATTGTCAAAAATGCTCAGTAGTAGTAGTAGTAGGAATAGTAGAAGTAATAGTGAATTACATTCCATTTTTTGCAGCCCCTCCATGCATTGCCGGACTAGACATTGGGATTGTTTTAGATAAATCTAGAAGCATCAATAAGGAAAACTTAGAAAGAGTTATCGAGTTCCTAGCAGACCTGGTAAGAAAGTTCAATCCAGCACCGGACGGGGATCACTTTGGGCTCATCACATTCGACAAGTTTACAAGATTGGTGTTTAACTTCTCTGACTCTGAATACTACAACTTGGACAGTCTTGAGAAAAAAATAGAAAGCGAACCAACAGAAAAAGCCAAAGGTTATGGAACTCGCACCGATCTTGCTCTGATAATGGCGCGGGACGAGCTGTTTACTCAGGCGGGAGGAGACAGACAAAACAGCCCCAACGTAATGTTACTCCTGACTGATGGAAAGCCCTCTGGCTTGCCGGAAAATCGCAATTTTGCAGTATTTTCTAAAAATATAGTGAAAGATTTCAAGGTAAGTACTTGTTATATTTCCTTCTATCAAGGACACCTTTCACCTTCGGTCAGTTTCGTGAATCCCTGTTTATAACATATTGTGGCACGTGTAGCTTAAAGTTTAGAGTTTGTTCCGGTTAAGTTATAACAAGGAAAGCTAATACCATATCACATTCGTTTTAAAATTTAAGTCACGTAACTGAAAACTATAATTGTGCTTAACTCACTGAACACTTCTTTGTGGTGCAGTGGAGGCTTTGGTTACCGAACAGTTAACACATTGCACTTTATATCTATAGGCCCGGGAGGGGCTCGGGTTCATGCCTTGACAGCGTTTCAGCGAGGGACTGAGAGCGCAACTTACCGTCGTTCGCTGGAAAACGTCACTCTGCAAAAAGCGTGTTAAAGAGCATGCAAACGGCTATCTTGAATGCATGCCAAATTAGGATAATTAAGTGCGTGGTGGAATAAACTACATGTGTATTCATTTCATTCGTTCTATGTAAGATTATCGTGTTCAGGTTCACGTGTAGATTTATTTATTTACTTCTAGTATATATTTACTTTGCTATCCATTGGTAACTAACAATGGTGAAAGGAGTTTGCCACTACCCCTCGGTATAACCTAAGAACTTAACATCTGTAACCAACAGACAAGTATCCAGAGAGAACGACAGAAAGAAAGAAAGAAACTATTCCTTTTTCTTGTTAGCCAACTTATGCATTTTTTTCTTTAAAAAAAACCAATCGCAGGATACTGGCGAAAGGTGACAGTAAATTTCAATGACAATACGTTACTAACTATAACCGACACCATTTTAGGTTTCGTGCAGCATTGTTTATTGCACTTTCACCTCTTTTCTTTTCTCCGTCCTGTGTTCAATTTAGAAAAAGGAAGTTCACATAGTAGCAGTTGGTATTGGCCACGGAATAAACACAAACACTCTTAAACTCATAGCAGGAAAAAACGGAGCTGTGTTTAATGTCGCCAGCTTCCAGAAACTGCAAGAAGAAATTGACAAAATCAAATCATCCGTTTGTTCAGGTACTTTGTCTTTTAATTTTGGTGTCAAGGAAACAAGTTGTTTACAATCTCGACTATCTGTTCGGCTCAGTTTGTCCAGTTTCGACAGTCTTTTCTCTTTCTTCTCTTTACTTTGATCGTCTTTGTGATATAAATCAAAGGGGATGTGGCTAAAAATCAAATAGGCTTTTACCAGGATTTCTGATATGCACTCACAGTCTACCTGGTCCGCTTCTCTCAACAGTATATGACTTCTTTATGTACTAGAACTGTTTTAAGAATAGGACCAAAGTCGAAAGATCTGACACATGCGCAATTTTACAAAATGTACCTTGGGAAAAAGCACTAGGGATAAGCCGGCTTTGAAATTTTACCTTAATCTGATGACTATCTTAAAATTACAGAAATAATAAATTAATGAAAAAAAATAAGCTCACAGAGATCTCTGATTTGTTTATATAACGCCTATCTTCTGTCTTGGGGTGGATTTCTACTGTCGCGTAAATTTCGCGTGCGTACGGACGTAAAATTTACGTGCGTAAGCTTTGAAATAGGGCCAGTGTATAATAAGCCACGGTCAACTTCAACTTTTACGCGCAACGCTTCATACATTGCCTCTATTTTATTTACGCGTGTAACATTTCCGTGTGTACAATTTCGTTCTAGCTTCCTCCCATCAGCTCGAGCGGAAACGCTTGCTACGTCGGCTAACATCTGTATGCATTTCTATAATTTGCAGATTAAGACGCCACTGCAGGCTACCGGGACGTCGTTAACCAAAACGTGGCCTGATTTGATCCGAAGGATTCGGTTTACATACAATTCAGAAAGCCGTAGTTTGGTTGTTGTTTAGTTCAGGAAGTTAATTTCCAATGTGGGTAGTTCATAGTATCTTTTTGCGATTTTCTTCATCTGATTTACTGAGGATGGATTTCCACTGTCGCACATTTCTTACCTGGGTAAATGAAATAGAGACAAAATGTATTGAAGGTCGCGCGTAAACGTTAAAGTTGAAATTCCCTCAACTTTCACGTTTACGACACTTCAGACATGTCCATTTTATTTACCCGCGTAAACGTTACTTGCGTACGCATATAAGCTCATATAAAGCTTAAGCGACACTGGAAATCCACCCTTACAATGGTTACCCACGCAAACTGTTACTGTTTGGGTTTTGCTGTCTGAACATTTATAGAAACGAATTAGGATACCGATATTGGCAATTTATAAAAACTGTGTGGTGATATTCCCGTATTCAATCCGTATTTAGTCTCTAAACGTCAAATTACCACATTGTTTGATTGAGTTTCATGTGATGCTCCTTTTATGTTTTTATCTTGGGCTGTCAGTTTGTAGTGTTAGACTGGTTTAAAACTTTATCTACAATAGGAAGGTGGTTTTTTCACTCTTATCACTGTGATTAGTAAAATAGTAATAATTATCATGATAATTAAACATTTTACTTGTCCTACATAAAATACTGTCTTATGTTGTTCACTCAAGTCTTTCTGATCCATCAGGATATTTCCCGCAAACTTAGTGTGAGGAAAAATTTCCAAGGCACAAGAATCAGTGTGAATATCCCATTTTCCCGTCCCCGAACCCAAACGTTCTGACAAGTTTTTAACAGGAGCCAGAAACGGGGTAGGAGACCACAAGCTCGGGGTCTACGCGGTCCCATCGAAATAGCCAAATGTGCTATTTTTAGATCAAACTGCGCCACCCTCAACGTCCCAATCTCGCGAGGGGAACCCCACGAATTTGTTCGTTCTATCGTGTGGAATTTCAGGAGATGGGCGATTGTTTTTCAACTTTATTTGGGTGCTCTCTGAGCTTCTCTGAACCTTCCATTTGCTTCATATCTCAATAGGCAATGCATGCACAGTGTAAGAATGAGCCAATATTATATAAACATTACTAGAAATACGCGTTTATCGCAAAAATGTCGCGAAGCTGATAAAGAGAAACCAGCCCTGAGGAAAATACAGTATGACTAAAAACAAAAAAACAAAACAAAACGAAACGAAGCAAATTTATACAAAAAAGTAAAAAACAGCTTAGCAGAGAGTCGAACCTGAACCATCTGCTCGGAAGGTTGGCACCTAGACCACGTTGCCACGTTACCAAAGCGTTTAGTGGGAAAATTATTATTACAATATTGAAAGTAATTTTTTCTGTGAAATTCAAATGGTAAACACTGTTTGAAACTGGTAGAGCTGTATTTATCATAAATTCAAAGATATAGTTGAGGAATATTAACCATAATTATTATTTGTTGTTGTTTTTAACTTTCCTCCCTCCTTTTTGCCTCAAGTTTTTTTTCCAGTCCAAACGAGATATTCATCGAACGACATCTCATCGTCACTGGATTTGCCAAAAACCCTCGCACTACGGTGATTAACATAAGCAGAATCAGAATCAGAGCCCTCATATTTAGAGTTATTGTCAAATAGGTTCTCCCAAAGGTCTTCCCTCAAATTCAGAGGAGGCAATGATGACAGAAATGGAATTTATTCATCTCGATCTAACGCACTTTGGTTGTCTATGCGCGCGTGTCTTATTGGCGATTTCAATGGAACCAACCCTATAACTTGAAAAGGTATCCAGTTACGGTCTCTTTCCTCGATTATGGCTCCTGGTTTTAAGTAATAGGGACAGTAGAGGAAACCAGCGCTCTTAACAATTTCTCAAGGATGATATATCCATAAACTGACCAACAACTAACATCTTAACGAAATGTATGTATCGGCAATACGTGCATCTAGCTTAGTCACTCAAGACATAAGGCAAAACATGTGGATGTCTCTCTGTTGTGTTCTGATACAGTCGAAACTCCATGTGCAGCGACCACGTCATCTTAAGCGACAACCTCCCATAAGCGATCACCTATCCAAAAATTCAAAATTTTCCTAGGCAAATCACTACAATTTGCACATGTCATAAACAACCAGCTCACCATATATGGTCATGATGAGAGGTCATCTAAAAATATGATTGGCTAAGCGAGTACCAAGTGTCCAATGACGTAATATAAGCCAAGTCACAAAACAGAAAACGGTCAAACCGGAAATGTGTCACCCAACATCGGTTGCCCTGGGTACAAGCGGGGACGTTGGACCTTCATTCCCCGGTGTCTAAGGCGTTGAGTTGTTCAACAACGCGTTGTAAAAACACTTGCGTGTTAGTGTCGTCCATGGTGATCCCGTGTTGGAGACCGCTGCAGTGGAGGGTGGTTGGGACGTGTCCACTCGGCAATAGGACAGTAGAGGCGTTCATCATTTATTAGGAAAAACTTATAAATTAGCCCAGAGTAGCACCACTCTCGAGTCACTGAAATCAACACGCTCGACCAAATTACTGGAAAAGTTATTGACGTGAGCCGCATACACGTTCCATTGAAGGCTTTGATAGGGTTAGTGCGAAGTTTGAATTCAGATGTGAACACTTTTAAACCAGTAAATTCAATGTAATTCATTTTGTCAACAAGTTGATGATTGGATGCTGTTAAAAATAACAGAGAAAATTATCCGAAGAAATGTTTTTGAAGAAAGAAAAAGAATCCCGGGTTAAGAACTAATCCGCCTCTGAGAAACTGCGCCCTGTAACTCGCGCCAGTAAAACAAAATGTTCCATTTACATGTCCGACGCTGGCCAATGTCTCCTCCGATTCAAAGCACTTGACACCGAACCATACGATATCTTTTGAAAACGTCCTTAAAATGATACACAGCTTAAATAGAGGTTCGCTGTACGCAACCTTACCTTCAAAATATGCCATAATCATATTTATCTACATCGCAACCACCCTTCCGCCTCAACAAACATATCGAACGCACTCTCCTAAGCTCGGATTACTCCTAGTTTTATTATATTTCCCTTTCGTAAACGGCCGTTGTCATTTAACACAGTCGATGCCACCATGGGGACCCAAGCCTTAGTCATGATAGATGTATTATTATATACACTTGTATTCCCTGGATCAAGTTACAAAAAGGCAAATACGTTTTTGAATAGTTTTAGAAATAACGACGTTGCAGCCCAAGTTTAATAGAGAGGAGAAGTTGTACGTCACGTTGCCATGGTAGCAAAATTTCTGGATGACAACAAATCAAAACCTCACTTAAAAAGTGGAGTCGCACTGTTTCAAACTTCATCGATCTTATTTAATTTCATTTAATTTGTCAAATTTTGGAGAAATTTTCTGGATTGAATCTGAAAAGACCGTATCTAAGTTAAGAAAAAAGAAAAGAAAATTTTTGTGTTGTGTTCACCCACTCGACCTTGAAGAGGGCGGTGAAATTAAGAAGTTTCATGTCGCAGTCGTGCAACAACGGCGAAGAAATCATGTACAAAAAAGCGTGATGCACGTGCAAGTTGTTCTTTTACCAATCTAAACTTACTGCTTTTTTGCTGTTGCAGAGCTCCCTATTGTTGTAATCCAGAAACTTACCATAGTAACGTGACGTCACACTTCTCTTCTCTATTTTCGTTAAAAGTTGTCGAAAGGGTTAGGGTCACCTATTATGCATGTCTATTATTGATGTTTCGGTTTAGAAAGATAGTTTGCTAGTTTATCTACTTAAATGTTTCGGACTTTTGGCGGGTTGGTGTGGTAGTCTAATGGAAAGGAGAGAGAGATTCGGTTACGAAAAATCCGAGTTCGAACCTGGGTTGAGTGTCTTGAAAATAGCAGCCTCCGTTGACGAGAGGGAAATGGAGCCGATGTCATGCGCCTTTCAATCACCCTCTTCCTCTCCTCAAATCTTTGTAACCAGTTTAGTTTTGATGTTTATTTGCTTCACATTGGTCCTTACTTCTATCCAGATAGAGGATGTAAGCATCGTTGTCGTTGGAATACTCGGCAAACGGTGGGAGAACAAAGAATACAGAAACAAGATGAAAGAAATGGCTGGTAAAAAGGGACAAGTGCTCAGATATCCGAATTTTGACATTCTGGCCAAACGCTTTAATGAAGTATTAGATGCTTTATCTCGTAAGTATTTTTTTTTTTTTTTTAAAAGCAGATTTCTCAAAGACAACGCTACGTCAAATGAGAAAGAAATAGTGCGCAGAAAGGACTGAGCCCGACTTCCGGTGCTGAATTTGTTCCTCTGCGATTGGTCAAATCGGTTTTTAGACCTGCGAACAACGTGGTCACTTTCGTCGCGTTATGTTCTCACAAGCGAGCAAGATGAAGCAAAATCTGTGTTCTTTTAGGCCACCCGAGCAGGCAACATAGCCTTTCTTGTCCGTTCGAGGATTCTGGCTCTGTTCCCGCGAAAAAAGTTATCGCACAGAGCATCGAATCGAATACTCCAAATAATCCTCGTAGCAGCATATAACCTACTAACGTAGACATACGTTTTAAACAGAGTGCTTTTAATATTTTGCGTGTTTTTCAGCGGTGAATGGAGGTTACACCAACTGGACGATTTCTGAATGCAGTGTGTCGTGTGGAGGAGGTGTAAAAATGTTGACAAGAAGCTGCACCAATCCTCCACCAGCCAACGGTGGAAAAAACTGCGATGAATTGGGACCAGCAAATATGACAGATTCTTGTAATGAACAAGAGTGCCGTAAGTGTTTTACTGTTTGCTTTGTTTCACTCCCGAAATGCAAATAAGATGGTTAATATTGTTTTAGAACAAAGTCTGGCAAGAATCAAAAATCATATTTTCCTTATCGCGCAGTCTTGGGATGTAAAGCCAAAATTAATGCCTTATCTCTCATGATTTTCGGCACAATTTTGAAAACGATCAAGGTTTTTGCTTTTTGTTAGCGCTTATCATTACCAGCATATTATCGATATATTTTTAGTTTTTTTGTTATTGTCAAGCTCTGTCCATGGTTCAGTCTATTCAGTCCTATACCAGAGCTGCGTTGTTATCCGTCTTGTACTGAGCATATCGACCGTTGAGTCGTTCTATCACCGGTTCCTGCTTTCACGGGAAACAAGATTATGTCAGGCACCTTGCAGATAGGAGAGAAAGAACAGCCACTTGATAGGCGGGCCATCCAGATCCCGATTAAACTGTTAAAAATCCGAGCCTGAAGCAAAACAAAGGCAAATACAAGACTAGGGGCCTGAGATTAAAAATGCCATTATTACATGATTGCATATAGTTAAGCAAGACGTTGTCAGACTGGGCGTTCTTGTATCAGGCGTATTTTAAGTTTTCATGCGTGTCCGGGTTGTGTGAGTTGTGCAGTAGTGTTGGTTGAGATATCTGAAGTGGAAGACAGGAAGACGGGAAGACGAGGACGCGGAATTTCAATTTACCACAAGTCGCTTCAAAGGAAAGACTCGCCTCAAAATTTCTAACATAAACTAGTTCGCCGAAAGCGCCACAAACGAATACTATCAAGAGGCGCATTAACTTTGAACGCAAAATCCCTCAAAATCGCTTATTATAATTATTTCCAGGAAAACGACAAAAGTTAATCGTAGATAAGGTAATAAAACTTTTATTTAGCATTGATCTATGCACACATTTAGCGATATGTTTCTATAGATAAAGCAAACTGTAAATTAAGTGCATGTGAGAAAGGATAAAAACGAGCACAATATTTAGAAGATTTGGGCGTAAAAAATAAATTGTTTTACAATAAATGGAGGCCAAATAAATTATTTTTGTAAAATCTGGAAGCCCATTAGCCTCACATTTCCACGCAACACTTTTTGGCTGACAATCCATTTTGCAGCCACCATGTTGTTTGTCATTCATGTATTTCATGTATAAACTTAATGTTATTGTAGTTTTATAAGATGTAACTGAATTACTATGAATTTATGATTAATTGACAAGAATGCTCAGTAGTAGTAGTAGGAGTAGTAGAAGTAGTAGTGAATTACATTCCATTTTTTGCAGCACCTCCATGCATTGCCGGACTAGACATTGGGATCGTTTTAGATAAGTCTCAAAGCATTGATAAGAAAAACTTAGAAAGAGTTATCGAATTCCTAGCAGACCTGGTAAGAAAGTTCAATCCGGCACCGGACGAGGATCACTTTGGTCTCATCACATTCGACAAGTTTGCAAGATTGGTGTTTAACTTCTCTGACTCTGAATACTACAACTTGGACAGTCTTGAAAGAAAAATAGAAAGCGAACCAACAGAAAAAGCCGAATATGTTGGAACTCGCACCGATCGTGCTCTAATAATGGCGCGGGACCAGCTGTTTACTGAGGCGGGAGGAGACAGACAAAACAGCCCCAACGTAATGTTAGTCCTGACTGATGGAAAGCCCTATGGCTTGCCGGAAAATCGCAATTTTGCAGTATTTTCTAAAAATATAGTGAAAGATTTCAAGGTAAGTACTTGTTATATTTCCTTCTATCAAGGACACCTTTCACCCGCGGTCAGTTTCGTGAATCCCTGTTTATAACATATTGTGGCATGTGTAGCTTAAAGTTTAGAGTTTGTTCCGGTTAAGTTATAACAAGGAAAGCTAATACCATATCACATTCGTTTTAAAATTTAAGTCACGTAACTGAAAACTATAATTGTGCTTAACTCACTGGAACACTCCTTTGTGGTGCAGTGGAGTCTTTGGTTACCGAACAGTTAACACATTGCACTTTATATCTATAGGCCCGGGAGGGGCTCGGGTTCATGCCTTGACAGCGTTTCAGCGAGACTGAGAGAGCAACTTACCATTGTTCGCTGGAAAACGTCGCTCTGCAAAAAGCGTGTTAAAGAGCATGCAAACGGCTATCTTGAGTGCATGCCAAATTAGGATAATTAAGTGCGTGGTGGAATAAACTACATGTGTATTCATTTCATTCGTTCTATGTAAGATTATCGTGTTCAGGTTCACGTGTAGATTTATTTATTTACTTCTAGTATATATTTACTTTGCTATCCATTGGTAACTAACAATGGTGAAAGGAGTTTGGCACTACCCCTCGGTATAACCTAAGAACTTAACATCTGTAACCAACAGACAAGTATCCAGAGAGAACGACAGAAAGAAAGAAAGAAACTTTTCCTTTTTCTTGTTAGCCAACTTATGCATTTTTTTTATTTAAACAAAACCAATCGCGGGATACTGGCGAAAGGTGACAGTAAATTTCAATGACAATACGTTACTAACTATAACCGACACCATTTTAGGTTTCGTGCAGCATTGTTTATTGCACTTTCACCTCTTTTCTTTTCTCGGTCTTGTGTTCAATTTAGGAAAAGGAAGTTCACATAGTAGCAGTTGGTATTGGCCACGGAATAAACACAAACACTCTTAAACTCATAGCAGGAAAAAACGGAGCTGTGTTTAATGTCGCCAGCTTCCAGAAACTGCAAGAAGAAATTGACAGAATCAAATCATCTGTTTGTTCAGGTACTTTGTCTTTTAATTTTGGTGTCAAGGAAACAAGTTGTTTACAATCTCGACTATCTGTTCGGCTCAGTTTGTCCAGTTTCGACAGTCTTTTCTCTTTCTTCTCTTTACTTTGATCGTCTTTGTGATATAAATCAAAGGGGATGTGGCTAAAAATCAAATAGGCTTTTACCAGGATTTCTGATACGCACTCACATTCTACCTGATCCGCTTCTCTCAACAGTATATGACTTCTTTACATACTAGTACTGTTTTAAGAATAGGACCAAAGTCGAAAGATCTGACACATGCGCAATTTTACAAAATGTACCTAGGGAAAAAGCATTAGGGATAAGCCGGCTTTGAAATTCTACTAGAATCTGATGACTATCTTAAAATTAAAGAAATAATAAATTAATAAAAAAAATAAGCTCACAGAGATCTCTGATTTGTTTATATAACGCCTATCTTCTGTCTTGTCTTGGGGTGGATTTCTACTGTCGCGTAAATTTCGCGTGCGTACGGACGTAAAATGTACGTGCGTAAGCTTTGAAATAGGGCCAGTGTATGATAAGCCACGGTCAACTTCAACTTTTACGCGCAACACTTCATACATTGCCTCTATTTTATTTACGCGTGTAACATTTCCGTGTGTACAATTTCCTTCTAGCTTCCTCCCATCAGCTCGAGCGGAAACGCTTGCTACGTCGGCTAACATCTAGATGCATTTCTATAATTTGCAGATTAAGACGCCACTGCAGGCTACCGGGACGTCGTTAACCAAAACGTGGCCTGATTTGTGGAAGATCCGAAGGACTTGGTTTATATACAATTCAGAAAGCCGTAGTTTGGTTGTTGTTTAGTTCAGGAAGTTAATTTCCAATGTGGGTAGTTCATAGTATCTTGCTGCGATTTTCTTCATCTGATTTACTGAGGATGGATTTCCACTGTCGCACATTTCTTACCTGGGTAAATGAAATAGCGACAAAATGTATTGAAGGTCGCGCGTAAACGTTAAAGATGAAACTCCCTCAACTTTCACGTTTACGACACTTCATACATTTCCATTTTATTTACCCGCGTAAACGTTACTTGCGTACGCATATAAAGCTTAAGCGACACTGGAAATCCACCCTTACAATGGTTACCCACGCAAACTGTTACTGTTTGGGTTTTGGTGTCTGGACATTTATAGAAACGAATGAGGATACCGGTATTGGCAATGTATAAAAACTGAGTGGTGATATTCCCGTATTCAATCCGTATTTAGTCTCTAAACGTCAAATTACCACACTGATTGATTGAGTTTCATGTGATGCTCCTTTTATGTTTTTATCTTGGGCTGTCAGTTTGTAGTGTTAGATTGGTTTAAAACTTTATCTACAATAGGACAGTGGTTTTTTCACTCTTATTACTGTGATTAGTAAAATAATAATAATAATGATAATGATAATTAAACATTTTACTTGTCCTACATAAAATACGCTCTTATGTTGTTCACTCAAGTCTTTCTGATCCATCAGGATATTTCCCGCAAACTTAGTGTGAGGAAATATATCCCATTTTCCCGTCCCCGAACCCAAACGTTCTGACAAGGTTTTAACAGGAGCCAGAAACGGGGTAGGAGACCGCAAGCTCGGGGTCTACGCGGTCCCATCGAAATAGCCAAATGTGCTATTTTTAGTTCAAACTGCGCCACCCTCAACGTCCCAATCTCGCGAGGGGAACCCCACGAATTTGTTCGGCTATCGTGTGGAATTTCAGGAGATGGGCGATTGTTTTTCAACTTTATTTGGGTGCTCTCTGAGCTTCTCTGAACAGTCCATTTGCTTCATATCTCAATAGGCAATGCATGCACAGTGTAAGAATGAGCCAATATTATATAAACATTACTAGAAATACGCGTTTATCGCAAAAATGTCGCGAAGCTAATAAAGAGAAACCAGCCCTGAGGAAAATACAGTATGATTAAAAACAAAACGAAACAAAAAGAAACGAAACGAAACGAAGCAAATTTATACAACAAAGTAGAAAACAGCTTAGCAGAGAGTCGAACCTGAACCATCTGCTAGGAAGGTTGGCACCTAGACCACGTTGCCACGTTACCAAAGCGTTAAGTGGGAAAATTGTTATTAATCCATAAACTGACCAACAACTAAACGAAACAAATGTATGTATCGGCAATAATTTGTTGCATCTAGCTTTTTTTCCAGTCAACTATTCAGACATAAGGCAAAACATGTGGATGTCTCAAGACAAGTTTCTTATGAACAATGCAAAAAATGATCTTGATTGTCTTTCTTTGTCGGCACCCGTCAACAAGTCAGTGTTGTGTCAGTGTCAGTGTCAGTGTCTTGGACGCTTTATCATTGCCCCACAACCTCTCGTTCTAACCTACAGATGGGTGACTACAATGCGAAGACAAGCTCTGTTGTGTTCTGATACAGTCGAAACTCCATGTGCAGCGACCACGTCATCTTAAGCGACAACCTCCCATAAGCGATCACCTATCCAAAAATTCAAAATTTCCCTAGGCAAATCACTACAATTTGCACCTCTCGTAAACAACCAGATCACCATATATGGTCATGATCAGAGAGGTCATCTAAAAATATGATTGGCTAAGCGAGTACCAAGTGTCCAATGACGTAATATAAGCCAAGTCACACAACAGAAAACGGTCAAACCGGAAATGTGTCACCCAACATCGGTTGCCCTGGGTACAAGCGGGGACGTTGGACCTTCATTCCCCGGTGTCTAAGGCGTTGCGTTGCTCAACAACGCGTTGTAAAAGCACTTGCGTGTTAGTGTCGTCCATGGTGATCCCGTGTTGGAGACCGCTGCAGTGGAGGGTGGTTGGGACGTGTCCACTCGGCAATAGGACAGTAGAGGCGTTCATCGAGTTCGGTCATGACAGCCCATGGGTGGGCGTGTAGCAGCTTGATGACCATGTGACAAATGTCGACAACAACAACAACAATCTTTATTGTGCTCTTGATACAAAACGTGTTAAGACATAAGAAGGAAATTATTGTGAAAAAAAGCGAGCACAGCCACTCAGAAATAGGAAGAGCTAATCTCACTGCGTGGCTGGGCCATGCGGAAAAAAAGTAGCTTAAGATATCAAAGTTGTTATAAATAAACAAATGCACACAAAGACACACAAAGAAGAAATATATAAGCTGTAATAAATAAACAAATACACAAACAGATAAACAAAGAAACAAGACAAAACAACTGCTGTGCACACAATTAGCTGCATGTAATGTACACCAATCAATATTTGGAGATGACGATTGCAGACTGCGCTGCAGGGCGGGAGAAAACAGCCAACCTAGAGGGAATACATGATTCTGCATTCATTATCCTCTCTGTAGGCATGCTGGTCTTGGAAGCAACAACAATTCGGCTCTGTGACATGAACTGTTACCCCATACCCCCCATGGGTACATCCCTCGTGAAAACACAACAAGTGGTCCAGCCCGTCCCATCCTCCATGTACTTGTGAACTGAAAGGAAAAAGCCGAAGGCGAATATGGCTAGTGCGATGGTTGCGATGAATGTACGTTCTGACCTTGGGATTTTGTAGACTCTTCCGAGACGTGTCAAAGCCTTAAGCATTTCGGGGAAGGCGAACTCGAGTTTTTCTTGGGTCGAGGGCGTCATCGTGGCTCGCGAGGATGTCCCGGAGAAATGACCACATCCACTTCCATGATTTGCCATATCGTTGAGTGAGCTCTCCTGCCTCGGCGTCCGCGCTGGGGGGTTTGCCCGCGATTAGGGTGAGATGAGACAACATGTGCACTTGCATGGGCTCGACGGGAATGTCTGCTTTGGGAAGCTCGAGAGGAAGCGAAGGCAATCTACTGGGCACTCTTATCATGGTGAACAGAAGGAAAGCAAATGGAACACACAAAGAGACGTCCTCTTTTTCATGATGGAGGAGTCTAAACCCACATACTGTTCAGCCATTGGTCGTCTTTAGTTAATTTGCGTGGAAACCAATCAGAACGATGGTCGCTTCCAGGTCGTCACTGTCCAGGCATTCCTGGAATGGATGATGTCTGCACAACGCCGAACCGGAAGGGAAACCAAGATTGATCCTCCTCGTGTACAATTTTCAGGGCTTCAACGGCTACTTCGTCCTCAACCAGTTGTACTGCAAAGACATGAGCCCTCAACAGATCGTCAATAGGGCCATGAAAACTCCTGTGTTTGTAATTGACCCAGCTCAAAATCAAGTTCAACGACAGCTTGAACCTTTTCCCATGCCTTAGGCAGACTTCCTCAAAGCCTTTTGTTTGCAGAAGGAGGCAAAAGGTTTCTTCCCCACTTTCTCGACAGACCCGAACACCAAACGTATGTGAGGCCTTTGCCCAACAAGCATTATTACGACCCAGACGGCAGGAGCCAAAATCGTCGCGACGCTTTTAGCCGTTGGTATGACAGTTATCACCCTCAAGCATCCTGCATCCGCAAGAAGATTCAATTTTGCGAGCAAGGACAAACTTACAAAAAAGAAGGACCAGATCCTCATAAAGGATGTAATCAGCTATATTTGGAAAAAATGGAACAAAAACGCAAGGCTGATTTTACAATCGGGAATATATATTTCATTTACCAATATTTCGGAAGGCACTGCCTTCCGTCTTCAGGGTCTTATGTAAGATCCTGAAAAAGTAAGACCGTACCTTCCGTAATATTGTTAAAAGAAATATATATTCCCAACTGTAAAATCAGCCTTGCTGTTTTTGTTCCATATCCTCAAGCAGGCCTGTCAGAAATTCGAGGACGATTTCCGAACGGAGTACGGGTTCGACACCTTCGAAAACACATCACCATCACCTCCTCCTCCTCCTCTTTCGCCTGTTTCTGACACTAAACACCATCGCCCTCGAATTCCTCTGCACGGTTGGGCCCTCTACATTAACCAAAAGCGTGTGTCCATAGAATGGCTCATTACACAAGGCATCAGCTAAGCACCACCGCCGACGGGCAGCCTCGATTACGCCACGGTCGAAACAGACACGGTGAAGTGCCCCTACAGCACGGTCCAGCCCAGACCATTCACGTTAGCGGCTACGACGCCTCAACCCACACCGTCTGAGAATTTTACGGTTGTCTCTTGCCCTGGTGCCCCACATGTTATCCGCGACGCCTTAAAACCCATCGGCAAACTCAACCTGGCACACTCCATGATCTTTGGGTCCAAACCCAGGCGAGGTGAAGACAGCTTTGAAAGACCGACTACCAACTCGTCATCCAATGGGAATGTCATTGGCGGCGGCACAAGTCCTTAAAACAAGGGCCGACTCAACCCAAATCCTCGAGCTGGCCTTCTCTCTGTATCCTCCCAAAAATTCACAAACAAGGAAACCCTGGTCGCCTAATCATCTTTAATAATGGTTCCCCCACTAAATGTATTTCTGCATTCATTGATTATCACCTGAAAACGTTATGTTGCGTTTATACAAGGCGTTTATGCTACCGCACTTTCATTATTGTTCGCTTATATGGCACTTCTGTGGCGCAAGAAATCGTGATAAACTAGAGCTTTTGAATAAACGCATTTTAAGATTTATATCAACCATCTCCCGGCATTTCAAAATGCAAACATCTGCGCCGCCTTACATGTCAGTTTTTACCGCAAGGCCAAAAACAATTACATCACCACCTACACCAAAGAAAAACGACATATACATGATTCCTTAAACTGTAAACGCTTTGTGGTCTTTAACTATGGTCATCTTAGTATTTCTACTCCTGTCTCTGAACATTTTAATCACGCCGATCACTCTATCAACGACGTCCTTCTTGCTTCCTTAGAACCAATCCGTAGCCACCGTGACCCTTTTAGAGGCTCACCTCCTCCACAAAGCAATGACATTAGAACCCCGTTGTATAATTAGAACTGATGAACTCTCTGGTGATATTTATCTTTTTAGTAGCCTGTTATTTTCTGTTTGCTATATATTCAAATCTCGCAAATGTAACGTTCATCTTGCATCTGTATTTATTTTTTTGTATTGAAGATAGTACCGGTCCAGAACTATTAAAGATACGGCTGACCCCCACTGGTTTGTCGTTGTGGTTTTGTCTTCACAAGTGTTTCCGACTCCTGAAAGTCCTCACCCGCCTCAATGCCAGGGAAAACTTTTTCGGTGGTCGAACAGAGTCCATACGCACCCAATCACAAGGGAGAAGGGATTCACTAAGATGATTTTATTTCTCTCTATCCCCTCACCAACCAAACCAGACCGTACCCCATCAGTCACCCGCACATCGAGACCGAGTACGAGGCCTCCACCCCGGAGAGGCCCAAGTCGTCCTCATGACGTGCGGTCTGAGCCAGCGCCTCGTGTTAGCCCTTCGATCAAGCTCTCTAACATCCCGGTGTTACCGATGTGCAAAGCCCAAAAACTGCTGTTCATCCTCTGCCCCCGGTGTGCAGAGAAACAACAGGCTCGGGGTAGGAGCGCAGCTGCAAGCGTCCCTATTCCGATGAAGCACGCGCTTTTGATGGCACGTGGTGGAGCGAGGAGCTCAAGGTGTCGTTGGAACAAGGTTAGTGGGTGCTGTACACCTTCGAGACCTGGGACTTTGAGCTTACCCATGGGCTTCTCCAGGGATACATCAACAAGGCCAACGAAGGCAAAATAGAATCGGACGGTTGGTCTCCACCGAAGTAGCAGAGAATCCCGAGCCACCCACGTCCGCGAGTACCTCCACCCTGAGGGGCTGGTCCTCGACCCCGCCCGTGTTTAGAAAAGCCTGGTCTGCAGACTTTTCTTGGCCAATAGGTTCTAGGGCAAGTTCGGTAAAAAAAGGCCAACAAGACGCAGGTCACCACCTGTAAAGAGGTAGAGCAGTTTTTCGAACTCTACGAAGACGACACACAGATCATACACCGCAACTCCCGGCTAACGACGAAATGCTCGACGTGTACCACTGATACGCCGACGACGTGAGCGAGCTGTCCAGCCGAACCATCATCCTCGTGGTCATTTCCACCTCGGCCGAGGCTCGCATCCAACTCTAAACACAGTAATTGTTGCCGTTACCAGACCATGATCTTGACATGGACACAGGTTCCGTCATCTACATCGATGGCACGGGTCAGTCCCCCTTACCGCGTGGGTCAATTCATTGTCGATTACCTTGGCCTGTTAAGTCACCCACATCAGCAAACAGTGTTACATCAAAGCAGTCGCAACAACGACGACATTAACTTCGTCACCAAAAAGGACTAGCTGCACGAAGAGCTGAAGGACCCCACCCCTGTGGCCAGGACACTCAAAGTGCACATTCCACACAAAATCACCGGAAACGTCACCCCCAACTCTCCACTCCATTCTCCAGACCAAAGGACTGAAAAAGGTGCCCGAAAAAACGCGTTATCGATATATCGTAATAATGGCTATAGTTAGCCCTATGTCTACGGCAAACCCGTCCCCCGGACCCCTCGCGACGAGAACATGGTGGATCTCTTAACTAGCTTATAAATCAAGAGACGACTGTCCACCAAGGACAACAGCCTGAATTTCCGACATCACTTCGAGTCGCTTATTCCCTCAGTGATGTCTGAATCTATGAACCGTTAATGCTATCCAATGACGTTACTACCCTAAAACCGGGTAGTGATTGGTTGATTATCCAAACATTCGCATAATTATGTATATTTAAGAGAAATTTTAGCAGGATTGTCGCTTGATATTCAGCGATTCGCAAACTTGATGGTCTGACCTTTCCTCATGTAACCTTGCAACCGATCAATAAAAACGTGTTCCGTGACACATCCCCGGTGTCACCTTTCCATTTTGTGACCTTTTTTACGTCATTGGGCACGTGGTACTCGCTTAGCCAATCAGATTTTTAGTTGACCTGTCATCATGACCATATATGGTTTCCCTATAGTGATGCATATTAGTGGTGACAGCGACCACTTATTTGGATGAAGGCTTTCGAATTTTCCATTGTTTCAATAATTCTCTTGTTAGCGACCAAGCCCCAGTTGTTCAAAAGTTGGATAGCGCTATTAACCGGAGAAATCACTATCCAACGGATAAGTGCTAGGGAAACCAATTACGGTGCAAACCAATTGTGCTATCCAGTGCATAGTCCGATTTATCTGGTGGATAGCGTTATCCAACGTTTGAACAACTAGGGCCAGTTGAGGCGTAGTTTGAGCTCTACGTTTGTCGAGTGTTTGAGCTCTACGTTTGCCTTTTTCCCCTGTGGCTCGATTCTCTTGAGCGACCACCTCCCGTTAGCGACCGCATTTTGGTTGGTCGCTTTCGGGGTTTCGACTGTCCAATATCAGAAAGATTGAGACTTTAAATATTCTCGTCAATTCTTTTCTCCTAAACTATGCGATTAGCGCCCACTCCTCAGGATCCGAAAGCGTACTTTTAGTCGTTTCGGAGAGAAACGACCAGACAAGACAAAAAAAAGTACTTCAAATTGAGTAATTTAACTTCATTACACCAGCATTTAACCCACTTATGTTTCCTATGGCCATGATATTTCCACCAGTGATTAATTCCCATTCGGGCAACCTGTAGTTACCATGTACTAGCCCGGAAGCCATTTCAACTAGCCCGACAAAGTTTTGATGAACAGAATTAATTACAGTTCTTTTGTGAAAGGTTTGAACCAAGGAGTCATTTCATATGTTGGTTAAGTATGATCGTCTGGGTGAACGTAGTCCTGACTAGGATTGTTGTTCACATTGAATAACGTTTCGAAAACTTGTGCGGTAGTCATCTTCAGAGTCAAAGTGAGTTGTATCACGTCAGTTGACAGTTTAAAAACTCTGGTTAGTGATCTGATTGGTCAATTAAATCGCGATGTCATTGGTCATCTGTCAGTTAAGCTGAGGTGTTATAGGCTGTCATTCTTCTGTAATTTGAATTCCTTCCCCAAAAAAGTCACCCGGCTGGCAAGTTAAGAACAGATTTCGAATAACAGTTATTCCTCGAGCCCGAATGGGCTCTGATTCAATAGCCCATGAGGCCGAGGGCCGAATGGGCTATTGACTGAGAGGCCATGAGGGCGAGAGGAATAATTGTTTTAGTTAAATCCAACTAGTTGGTAAAAAATATCGAGACAAAACAACTTTAGCTAGTTAAAGTAAGACTTTAATCCTTTTTGGCCGCCAAAAATCCGGCGCTTTTCACTACTAGGGGGCTATAACATATAGCCTAGTAGTAGCTCAACCAATCAGAAAGCAGCGTTGATAATAGACCACTAGCTGGATTTTACTAAAGCCCGATAGCCCAGGGCTATCGGACACTACTTTCTTTGCAGGCTAAAGAGCACTACTATCCTGACCAAAAGAGTTTGAGACACTTCCCTTTTACCTCCTCTTTTTGGTAGGGAATTTGCGAGTGATCGACAATTCACGGTTGTACATACGACTTTTTGCTTGTAAATACGCTCCTCCCTGAACAAAATTAAAGTCCATACACTTTGAATGCTTTTGAACATTTTTTGACCTGCAAGACCCAACACTGTCCAAGGGGAGGGGGATTATTAGAAAATACACAGATCATACACATGTCTGTAAAAACGTTTAGACCAGGATTGTAGGTGAGCCAATGTTCTTACATTGTCTACTTTTGGGGGGAAAGGTGGGGTCGATAGGCATCGTTATCACTTTTCATAAAACAGACACCTAAACGAAGCCTCAACATGAAGCAGTGGACATTTTGAAGAACGTCTCGAAGTTCTGTGTGGGAACTAGGTTAGTTTTCATATGTCAACAGCAAAAATCAGTTGCAATTGTAATCTAAGTGCGCTTACTGCCCCGTACCGTTTAGAGGAAAGCGAACTCCTGGATTTCCACTCGCTTTCCTAGTACTGAATTTGAGAAATAGAGGAATTTTGAAGCAACTTCACATCTCTCTTTTTACAATAAATGGGCCATCACTAGCTATTTGCCCCATGGTGTTAGGAATTTTCAGACATTCACCGTAGGCACTCCCGCGCTGCGTTATTGCTTGCACTACTACTAGATATTCCAAATGGCCAGTAAAAAGACTACGCCAGGATTAAAAGAATTGACAGTATTTTTTTTAACAGATTTTCTTGTAGTGATTTTTCTTGTAGTGATTTATAATCGAAATTCGCGTTCTATGAGATAGAAAGTAAGAAAGATGTACACGAATTAAGATAACACCACCCAAAAGTAGTTGATTGGCCTTTCATCACTGTGATATACAGCTATTTCGAGAGAGGTTGTCGGAAAAAATGTGCACGCGACAACCCCGAAAGGTAATATGGGATATGATCAATACACTGTTCCTCACGACTGAAGCTGTCGAACCTACTTTTGTTGCTTTCCATTAGCACTCGCTAACATATGTCCGTGGCCTCTCGTGCCATTCTTTCAAATTTCTTTGGAGAACAGGGCAGACAAAACCACCCACAATACCTTTCGGGATTGTCGCGTGCACTTTTTCCGACAACCTTTCTCGAAACAGCTGTATACCAGCTAGCATCATTCTAGGCCCCATCCTTTGTCGTCTGAATTCAACTTAAGTCCCTTCCCATAAATGAGAACCGTTCATGGAATTTGGATGCAAAAACCCATAACTTTATGGAGTTTGTACACTCGGATAATATAAGCGTGCATGACAAAAAACAATACCAAACCTTCATTGTTAACGTTTATTCAATGTATGTAATTGATTTCCCGGCTTTCAAAGCTGCGATGCTCAATAAGAAAATCGTCCTTTTTTAGAATTCAAAAACTCAATTGGTATATAGCTTTGAAGTCTAACCGAAATGTATTGCATTTATCTTGTGCATAAAATGTTTAAAATTAAACTGCCTTTGCAACAAAATGCCCTATACAAGGGGTAGACTGCTACGCAGTTTATTTGTTGAGAATTGGTCATGATATTTATGTTATTGTTTCATTTCACTAATACTCCTCTAAGACATTCTTTTTATATATATAGAAAAGGCCGATTTGCACGTAACAAATTTTGTCGATTGAATGTATATCCCACAAAACGAATCACTTGGAGAAAACCAGACCTGCCAGTACCTTACGAGTACCGTACACTTATATACACCGACTATTCGATTGGGCTGGTTTACACTAACGACTATATCGAGTCGTAATCAGAAAACAGCGCAGTCCATACTTATGAGACTGAGGGAGCGTGTGCTCCTACGGATTACCAGTGAGAAATTTTGAATTCTAACAGAGTTATAAAGAGAAGTATGACGTCAAGTTACTATGGTAGCAAAACGTCTGGATCTCAACAGTCTTTCTTGACAGAGACGGCCATTTGCATTGTCCAACGATGGAAGGAAAAAATGGGCTATCGTTTGTGTTCTTGAGTGTAATCATGCACAGGAAAGTCATACATGTCGATTTTTTATTTTTTTTTCTGCCATATTTGCAGGACCACGGTTTGTCGAGATCGAGAAATTTTGCTATCATGGCAACGTGACGTAAAGGCTTGTCGTCTTTATTTCAAAATTTAGCATGCGTACTTATCTCAGGGTAAGTCGTTCTTGGGGCTCTTCCGCATTTAACCGCAAATCTGAAAACGGAGATTTGTTTTACTCTTTTCTCGAAAAATATGCATCCTACGTATTGTACTGGAATCGTTTTTGCCCGTCCAAACGAAAAGTAACGCTAAAACAATAGAAACGAGATAACTTCAAAACCTGTTTTCGTCCGTCCACACAATAACGATAAACCAATGTTTTCAAAAAATCCTACACAGAGAAACGTTTTCCAAACACCTGCGTTTTTGGTGCCCAAAAACGCTGTTTTCGTGTGACCGGAAGGCTAAAACGTTTCCAAAAATATTCGGATACGTGTGGACGGGTCCTTACCCTTACCCTTAGCTGTAAAGGAGTTTAATTTTACCGTTAGGCAGCGTTCTTATTTCTTACTGGGACCATCAGTTTCGCATACCTTGGGTGCCACCCATTTACACACACCATCCGAGTGGAAATCCTGTGCATAAAAATAACACTGTAACCTCTGTCCCCAGTTGTTCAAAAGGTGGATAACGCTATCCACCGGATAAATCACTATCCAATGGATAGCGCAGGGGGTTCCTCTAATACTTATCCGTTGGAAAGTGATTTATCCGGTGAATAGCGCTATCCAGCTTTTGAACAACTCGGGCCTGACCTGCTGCCAAGTATATCCCAATCAGCTGAACAGGCCAAAAAGAGTAGACAATTTGTGTCACCTTAAATCACAGTCCATATATTCCGAGGTTTCCCAAACGGAATGACGCGTACCATTTAATTTTCTATCCGGAATTTCCAGTTTTTCCATGTAAATCTTAAGTACCCTCGTTACATGTTTTCGATTTTGACCATAGCTGTCGAGGTTTGAATCAGCTGAAACACCTCATCAGCTAAAACAGAGGAAAGACCGTCAAATGCCTACTTCTAATAAAAAAATAATAACAGCTGATTTTTCAGTAGCTTCACGCGTACTTTTATCTTAAATCTATTTCACCATTTTCACAGAAATCAAAGTTAATGGAACCCTCCACGTCAAAGAGGCTTTTTGAACGGATTCCGTCACTGCGAGTCTGTTTCAGGTCTGACACATTAGAATGGGTTGGAAGATCGCGATTTCTGTTACCCCCTTTATCTACCAAACGCTGGTCACCATTCGAGGTACACGTGTCATCTGAAATTAGAATAAAAGTGATCTAGTGACTGGTTCAAAATTAGGGATATGAGGGTAGGTTACATCATCAGCTAAGGACCTATTGATATGATCCCGGGTAATCAGGATGAAATTCTTAGAAGAGAATGCTTTCAACGCTGCTGTCATCGATTTCACGTTTCTTACTCTCTGTCAAAAAGTCTTTTTTTCCTTAAACTTATAACAGACCCTAATGACGCTGAACTGGCTTTCTCTCAACGGAGTGGAAGGCGTAGTTGGGGTTGTAGTTGGAAACGTGTCGCTTTCGTATTCGGACTGAAGGGTACATAAGGAAAATTTCCAGGTGGTGTGACTGAAATCTTCGTTAAACAAACAACAATCCAAGTTCAAAGGGCAGACCTAATGTCTCTGCATATGAAGTCAACGCACGCAATAGCGTTGTGGAGAGATCTCGGTCAAACAACCAGAACCAGACATACTATTTGCTCAGGTTTATATGAAGAGACACCAACTCGGCTGCCTTCGCATGGCGCGCTACCCTTTGTAAACAAGTGCAAAACGCGTCTCCAAAAATAGTTAACAGTGAAGTTTTGACTATATCAAAGGAAGTTAACTATAGATGTAAAGGAAAAATTTCCCTTCCCGCATAAAGCTGTAGTAGCTCATGGTCACATTGCTTGTGCGGTCAGTTTAACAATGGTTCTATTTTGTAACTCACTGATAGAGTAGTTATGTGTTTAATAGGTGTTAAGTCGAAAGTTGTATATCTAACTAACCTTGCCTCATACTGCCATTGTCACCACTTTCTGACTGATTAGGATAGGATGGCCTTCCTTCAAACCGTATAAAGTTATTAACAGTATTTCCTGCAAAATTAGTAGAAGCTTCTTTCCCCGTATTCGTGCTATCAGCACTTCCAGTTCTAACCAACTTTTGTTTCTGCGACTGAGTGTTGCTTCTGCGCGCCTTAAGTGAAAACGTCCTGTAAGGTTTACCAGTCGTTACTGTATTTCTCTGATGCTTTAGTGATCTTTTCATCCGCTGCTGACCCAAAAATCTGCTTGTTCCTTGTGAGGGTATGAACAGGGCACTCTCCTCAGTAACAGCTCCTTGCCTATCATCCGCCACATTCCCCTCCAATAAACCATTCGACCTGTTCTGGCCTATTGCAATAGAATTTTCTGTTGCCATTGGAGACTTATCTGCAGTCTGCGTTTGATGAACTTGATCTGCACTAAGAGGAACCGCTACACCACATTTTTCATGTTGAACAGGAAAAGCAGTTTTTGCTGGTTTTAACGGTAAAGTAGGCTTCACCAGTTGGTCATGTGAAGATAGTCTTGCCGGTTTTTCCGGTATAGGGGGTTTTGCTGGTCTATCAAGTAAAACAAGTTTTGCTGGTTTATCTGGTAGAGCAGGTTTTCCTGGTTTATCCGGTAAGGCAGGATTTGTCGGTATATCGTGGTCAGCAGATCTTACTGGTGCATCTGTTGTATCAGGATTTGCTGCTGGTTCAGGATTTACCGATAAATCCAGTAAACCAGGTTTGGGTTCAGATGTAGTAGCGTCCATAGACTGAAGCATGACGTTATCAAACGAAGGAGGCCTTGACCGAGGGGAGGAATCCTCTGAAGTCGACGATCGGTTCTTGTGGGGTTTTAATGGAGACTTTCTTATTATTGTGAGTGGAGCAGATTTAACCAAATCACTAAAAAAAGAGAGAGAAAGAAATTACAAATAGTAGCGGGTTTTGAATGTACAGGAACAGGTTTAGTATGTCTAAGCAAAATATACATGAACAGGAAACTAATTATTGAGCACAGACCACACTCAACGGCAGTTCAACCGTAATTAACATTAGGCTTGAGACGGACCAAAAAAAAGACTGTTTCTGTTTCTTTATTATTTTAGTTGGTATCAACGAGAGTTCCGAAACATGCCAGTCTTTTCTTTCGTAACTGTTTCAAATAAACATTTAAAGTACAGTGCTTACGCTACCAAAGAAATAAAACTATCATACATGTAGCTGTTATACGTTTTTTACAATTAAGCATTAAGCTGGCTTGCCAAACAAAATCTTGGACAGGACACTTAATGTCTTGGCGAGTCTTGACACATACCTTGTTCGAAATTTCGTATCCAGCAAGTCTTTTAGGTTAGGCAGAGTGTTACGTAAGTTCGGCGTCCCAAGCCCGTTAACCTGACGGATCTAAATTTCAAAATACAGACCGTAGTAAATATTCGAAAAAAGACAGCGGGTTTCTACAGAGACACTGGTCAGTACAAGCAAAAAATCTTGAGGCTTCACGGTTACTTGGCCTGAAAACAGATCATTTCATGTTCGTTCCAAGAAATTATCAGTTTCAATTCACCACTATCAAAAAGAGACCTTCCTGCTCGACGATACGTTGCTCTGTTCGACCACGAGAATATTAGCTTGGCAACGGATATATATATAAAAAATAAATGTTTCGCTGCGAAGCAATATTCTATAACAATGGCACTAAATAATTCTTTCAATTTTAATACATAAATTTAGCTATTAAACCCTAAAAGCTGAACTCCCACATAAGACTGACCATTTACTTGTAACAATAAACGCTAAACCATTGGGAAAAAATTGCGAATTTACGTGACGTTAAGCTTGCTTTTTACCTCAGCTCGTTAGCACAAGAACACATTTTTCCTTTTACAATACGTTGCTGGTTTTAAGTGACGTCAACAAAATTCAAATCAAGGAATAATCAATTCTTCCGAGTTTTTACTTTTACGAGGTGTTAGAGCAGCAAATCATTAATATTTTAACAAATTTTCAGTTCGAAAGCGTTCTTCGTTTTGTGATAGAGTGAGCTTTGGCTGTTTGCAGTGTTAGCATTCAAGACCAAAGTTTCAATAATTTTGAAAATGATACAATGTAACTATCAGTTAACAAAGCAAAATTGACCGGTTTGTGAGGTAGGGACTGTGCATTTATTCAACAGGTTTTGATTTTAAAATTTGCCTTCGGGCCCGAAAAGTTATTGGGCCTTTCAAGAAACGGGCCCCAGATCGTGTCTTTGAATAAGCACTCTTTTAGTGTTTAGGCAAAACCCTGACAGATTTCTCGCCAGTTTGCGCCGCCCCCATGCCCCTCAAAAAGACACCAATATGGCGTCTCCATACAACGTTCTACAGATTTGGGTAAAACATTTCCTCGAATACTTGACACATAAAAACTCGCAGAGACCTGCAGAATCTTGGCGAAACTGTTTGCACACTTATTTCCTCTAATATCCCAGATTCTAAAAATACTTTATCCATGGAATGGTTTCGATTTTAATTTGTGACGGCGTGACAGTGAAAACAAGCCATAAGCACCAGTGCTAATAAGTTGGAAGTTTAAGTTATTTAGTCTTGAAGAGATATGAAGTTTGTCAAACAAAATTCCGAAAAATAAGGGAAGAATTGACCGCTAACTGCGTTGATCATTTCAGGAATCAGTCACCGCCACCCGAATAAGGAAAACAAATGACCTATCAATCGGCTTTAAAAGAAAATTAGTGAAAATCGAATACTAGACAGAATTTCAATTTCATGGAAGCTCCGCTACTAAACAATGTGACAATAACGATCTGAATTGGAGGGAAGTGACCGACTTTAGAGAGTTTGACAAATTTACACATCTCAATGAACAGCGTTTTAAGGCTATGGCGAAAAAAAGCACAAATAAGTTTAAGCTCTGAAAAAAGGGGAAAACAACGCTCATATGCCAGCCCGCGTAGCAAGCGTTTCTGTACGGTTTAAGAGAAAAGAACGAGGAACGAGAGTCAAAGACCGCGAGAAAAGTGGCTCTCGTTTCATTTCTCGCGCGGTCAATACCGAAAGCCCCCTTCCTCGGTATTTCTTTGTTCCGAAACCAAACGGAAACGCTTGCTACGCAGGCTACTCATATGCCCGCCCGCCTAACGGTAACTGAGATTCTACCTGAGCTATGTTCTTGTTCAAAAGAAATATTCCATAGAAAAACTTGGCTAGTTCTTTGCCTCTGTTATGTAATGGAAATCTGAAAAAGGTATAACAAAAGAAGTGTTTTATGTATTTATCATCAGCACTAATAACAAAACAACAATTCGCTTGCAACCTAGAGTTACAGCAGTATGAAACATATTGTATTCAGATGCGCTAAATTAACTCAGCGACATATTTAAAAGAGAGCTCGCCATTTAAGCGATGTTGACACTACAGCTCTTGTGCTGACATGAAAACCATACATCTTGGTGTGATTTTTGTAACGGAGCGAAGCTGCGCCGTGCCGATCTCGAAAGTGAAACGTCACATACCGGATGGCTTACTGCCACTCTTCGTTGGAGTGTGTACAAGTATTCGGACCGTAGCGGAAGTAAATGAGTAGGAGTGTCGACTGGAACCCACTGAGATGGAAGAAAATATTCAGATATGTGAGAATTAGGATTTAGTTTACCAGAACGTCTCGGCCAATCGTTCCGGCGGCACGATGTTCGAGGAGTGTATACGACTTGCTCCAGTTGAGGATTGTTGCAGTTCATACTGTACAGAACAGCTTTCCATGTCGGCAAAAAATGTTTTCCGGTATGGTGCAAACATAGCCTAATTCACGCCAATTTCCTCAAATTCGATCCAAGAATTAATTTTAGTCAAAAAACCACTCTTAGTATGGCCAGTATTTACTTTCTGTCCTTTTCTGGAACCTTTTCACTTGTCAAATCTACAATGGTAGACCTAGAGCCATGAGAGTTCACTGGATATCTCAGAGGCAGTTGCAGGAATCTAGCAATCATGCTGACCACATGACACGTGTAACCCAAAGCAACTGCAAGAGTTTCATCATCCATAGCTAGAAAAGAAAAAAAAATATACAACTTGTATGACCTAGCAGCTAATGGAAAGAGCTGTCTGTCCTGGAGCGTTGGACTGGTTTAAAAAACAAAGACATTTTTGCACTACGGGAACTGTCCGTTAACCAGTAACCATGTGAAAGATGTTTTCACCTGATTGACAAGATAAACGTTCAGTTTCTGTTAAGAATTAGTACCTGTTATTTCTAGGGTGGGTAAAATTGCATGCAGTCAAGCTATACAACTGCTTTATCCCGTGCTATTGCTATTCTGATTCAACATTTATTCAAAAGACACAAGTCCTGTAACGGACTAAAATACTCAAATAAGACTTTTTCGAATCGATCAAGCGGACTTAGCGCTTACGATTTCGCTTGGCAACCCTTTCCGGTCCTTGAAAAAGAGGAATAACGCTGGACAGACACCAGAGGTCCCAAAACTTTGTTTGGTGGAACTAAAAAATCTGTTAGATACGGCTGTACTGTTTTCCTCCTTAGGAGATTTGAAAACGGAGGGATAAATGACTTTAAAATGGACTGATGGATAGGTAGATGAAGGCTAGATGCATTCTTAAACAAGGTTCTAGCTAGTTAAAACACTGATGGAGATAACGCATTTATGACAACACTTGAGGGGTTTGCAAAGCATTCAAGAAGCTAGTGCTGCTCTCGGGTACGCCTCTAGCATCCCTTACGCTTCTTTCGTGCTTAGCAACCTCCCGCGTGCATCCCGTAACTCGATGGTTGCACGCTGCACGTTTACCATTTCTTAAATTTGTTGAAGCCCCCCTCCTTCCCTCCTTCCATCCAACCAGTTATTCACTAAGACATACTACTTAACCTTTCAATGCACATTTTAAATTCGCGGTTTTAGTTCAATTCAATTTCATTTTAGCCTTTTAAACAGCAAATCCGAACATGTTAATTCCAGTAAAACATGGGCATAATCCTAATAAAAACATCTTACCTGTAAATTCATCAGACTCACTGTTGGGAAGCCGCACTCCACAAATAAGCTTTTCTTTGGTACCTTTTAACTGATCAAGAAAGTAATTTGACAAACATCGATAAGTTCAGCAGGGAATATTGTAGCAGAGAGCTCTCTTTATTGACATGTGACAAATGTTCAAACATACTGAAAATAATTAGTCAGGTACAAAGAAAACACGACGGTGCGTTAATTTTTGCACTTTATGCCCATTGTTAGTAATTACATCTTACCTCAACAATTGGGTAAATACTCATTAGTTCAGAGATAAGCTGCCGACGCCTCATGCCAAGCTGAGCGGTTAACTTCACCAGTGATTCCCTTCAAAATAAAGCAAACTTTGTGAATAGTATGCGACAGATGACAAAACTTGCATCTGTGAATTGGTCCACAGCGCTGCACAGTCAAATCTCACTATGGCAGATATCCTCAGGACCACACCTTCAGTACGTCACGTTACTCGACTTTCTTGTTTTTTTTTTTTTCTACCGCCCAAACGCGCGGTTGTTTGAATGCGAAATTTCACCCCAGCTTAGAAGTAGGGGTGGATGAGGACCTACAGACGATCACGTGACCACCAAACTTGCATTGAGCATTGATAGGTTTCCATTTTCTATAGTAATGCAAGCTCGTCTCTGCGCTCTATTATATTACTGCACTATATGTGAAAAAGGGATAATGTATAGTATGACAGCAAAATGTTGAAAATGCCCTCTAAGCTAAAGAACTCACCTCTTTCCTATGTGAGCTTGTTCGTGTTCTCTTAGAGAAGACTTCCATAATTCCAACTGCTCCTTGTTCCTTTCAAGGTTTAGTACTAAGAAAATACAACCATACACCGTGAAATAAACATACAGGTAGTGGCATGAACTAAATTATGACCAATTTGTTCCTGTGGTACTGTTTACTGTACAGGTTGGTTCTCGCTACATAGAAAATAAAATAATACTAAATGTGACCATTCAAATGGATGCTGCTGGGTAGTACACCTACACCTACATGTATACTTTCCCATATATGTTTCGCAAACACACAAAAAAATCGCAATTTTGCAGCTGCGTGCAAACCTGGACATAAGTGCCAAATGAAAGCTTACATGTATGTGTAGTACTCTCTAGTTGAACAATGTGTTTCTAAATTATAAATTATTTGGTGGATAAATTATAATCCTCATAATTCAAATAACACCTTAAGGTGTTGTGTTATTTTTGTCTTTAAGTATTAATTTCTAGAGAAGAAGGCTTGATTTGTGTTCTCTTTATTTACAATTGCATAAATCTTAACTTTTTTCATTTCCCTTTTCTGCTTCATGTAGATTAACATAAACTCCGGGATTTAATTAGCAGGATTTAATTACTTCTTGTTTCCACGTAGTATTATATTGTAAGCTGATGAAAAGTGACAAAGGTACACTCCTGTAACTCATGAATAAATGAAAAGTTGAAACAGTACAAATCCCAGAGAAACTTCAAGACCAATTTCACTAAATTTTATCTTTGTATGTTGAAATGCACTTACCATGCTCTCTGAGCTTCTCCAAGAAATTCTTTTCCTCTTCTCTCTCTAATAATAACATTGCATGAATTTAACCGTTACTTACATACAATAATACATGTGACTGTATCTACACCAACAAACACATTCCTTCAGTCTGTTTAATGACACTATACACCCTCTATAATTAAATATCTAATGCTCAATTGGAATATATCTTGGCTTTTCGTTTTTTGCTTAACCTCCTTGGTCTGCACAAGTGAGTGTCCTACCGTATTTGGAGACTGGCAAAACCACACAGTTTCCCAATGGAACCACCCATGCATGTAGCTTACAATTGTCATTACTGCGCTGCCGCTAAAGCCCCTAAATTCCCATCACTAAGAACCACGAAAAGGCACTAAGGGACATAGCCAGCTTTTCAACCAGCTGTAGGCCTGGGTGCCTTCAATTTCCACATATCCTGAAAATGGCACGCGACTAGTACGCACTGACCTCACCAACACTTTGAGCTCTTAACCTTTTTAGCTCACTCCAGCAATGCATAATTTATTACAAGCGATGGAGTGATCAAACCAGAAATTTGTAGGCCCGGGCCTACAGGTCTATGGACTGGCTATGCCCCTGATGTACTATACAATAGCAATGATAACAATGAAATGATCAAAAAACAAAAATTCCGGTGATACAATTACAGGAAAAAGAAGGGTGAGTGGGAGTAAGGAAAAGCTCAACTAATAACGTGACTTTTTTCGCATATGATAGCTCCCTAATATCTCCTTCAATTATGAATAAATAATTATGTTATACCTTTCAGCAATTGTTTATGCTTTGACAGTACAGTATGTTGCCCAGTATCCGGACGGTACCAGTATCCGGACACTTGAAACAAAAACTCAATTTTTGAGGGGCCCTTTTCAGTTCTCGGTAAACGAAGTATTTCGAATGAAAGCTGAACATTTCAGCTTTACGATGAAAGTTTTGGCGATTTGAAAGCTTGCGAAACAGTCGCAGAAGGCGCCGTTCTGTTCAGGTGGGTAAACTTTTCATGGCCAATATTTACGCTGTTGACTGCGCAGTAAAATTAGTGCTGCTCAGAAAAGGGAGGGTAATGTGTGATGTTTTGAAAGAAACTGTTTTATTTTTAAAGTGAAGATGCTTAAGGAAGTCAGGTTTTCAGAAAGTTTATTAATTCTTCTTGAAATTCTATTTGTTTGGAATAACGGAGGCCAGAAACATTCACTAAGTTTTGATGTCATGTGCCCAGTATCCGGACAGTTTTTTCTTTGCTGTACAGAATCGATGAATTAGGTGTGTACATTATCCGGATAAGGTTTATTTCATATCAGTGACTATAATTAAAGTTTAGGATATATGATATAGTCGTAAAATGTAATTCTACTCAACTCCGTATGGAAATTTTCTTTACTCATTCAGAGGCGACTCGATTTCGTGTGCACGGCTTGTTTCGCGTGACTGCATTTTCTATATATAACTGAAAGCGTCTGAGTTGAACCTGTTGAACCTGGAATTCTCATACTTTCCTCGGTTGTGACTGCTAGAATAGGGCTGCAACGGTCTGAAAAATGTCACAAATGGATTGAGAGATGTGAAAGAAGGAGGAATTAGTGCTAGAAAAGCAGGCTTATTGTGGGGACTGACAACCGGACTGAGCATGAAGAAATCAACACTGCAGGTCAGACTAAATAGAAGAGTGACCTTTGACCGTCCGGTTGAGGTCCCTTCCCCAAGCTTTTTTTAAAATAAAAAATGAAGAAAGAAAGTCGTTTGCAGATTGGCTAATTGAGCTTGCAAACTGCGGCTTCGGTATGTCCACGGATGCCTGCCTTAAATCAGTGAAAAAGTTCCTAGACAAGGAAGTAAGAATTATACCATTTTCAAAACAGCCGCTCGCGTTCCCCACCATACCCCAGTCGTTTGTTATGTTTTATTTCAGGATGCTAGGTTATATTTTTGGAATCGATTGCCAGACTACTTTGCAAGTGCAAGAGAAGCTTATAAGTCGCTTGCCTGTCGAAATTTATGTGCAATTACGTTGTTACTGTTATGTTCGGATACTGAGCCAGCTGTCCGGATACTGGGCAACATAGGAGCTCTGCAAAAATATTAATTTCGTGATGGAAACAAAGGCAAAAAAGTTAAACTGTCTTTCGTCATATTAAGGACTAAATAGATTTTCTCTGGGCCAAATTTCAGAGCTCTTGCGATTAACAAAGGAAAGTTATTGCAATCTTAAACTGAAGTGTCCGGATACTGGGCAACATACTGTAACTCTTCTCTTAAAAGTGTGATCTTCAAAGTAAGCATCTCCTCTTCCGAAAGCTTTGAGAAGAGAATAATCACGTATTAAACAAGTGAAACAAAAACTACAGGTAACTTGAAACAATTAGTTCCATCATTAAAGTTAAAAACGAAAACAATATATACACGTATGTCCTGACATCGTGCACTCTTTAATACAGCAGATGCTTAAGTCAAGGGAGACAGCTAAGGATAGCTTAAAACTCCCTAAATTCCTCTCATGTAGATTATTAGCTAAATGGCACTCTTTATCATGACAGTTTCATTTATGCACAGATATCTCATATCATAAGATTTACCCAAACAAAGAAAACCCAACAGTAACATTCTATAGAAATTATCCCTGAATAGGAAAATAACATGAAAATCATCTAAGGTTGATCAAAATGTTCACTCACTTGTTTTCAGTGAGCTTTCTAAAACAGTAAATATTTATGTTCTACTCACTTGTGATGTGTATTTTAAGTCAGATTCAACTTTGTTTTGGATCAACTGACAAACATTTTCCACTGACAGCTGAGTTTGTTGAATGGATTTCTGAGTCATCTGTATTCTGTTAGGGACGGACCATTAGAAAGGTTTTGGGGGGGTGGGAAATTTTGCTATGAAGCTTGACGCTAAAGCCTCCAGAATAAATTTACGGGGTCGTTCCAGTTTGAAATGAAATGTTTACAGGCTAAACATAACTTATAAGCTTGTAATATAAGTGTGAAATGCGACCTTGGTTATGCAGTACACGGAGTATTTTAAACTCTGACTGAGCAAATTTTACTGTTGCTGCTCTGAGTCGAACATTTAAGGGTCATGAAGCTGGACTGTTTCATGCATATTGAGTAATTATTTCCAGTGGTCTGGAGCACAATGCCCTACAGTTCCTCTGTTGGTCAATTTTTTTTTTTTTGTTTTAGCTTAATAGCCTATGCGACTGTACTGTTAGCATTAGTTGTTACAAGTGCCTAAAGCGAGACTACAGTTGCTACTATGGTATAAGTCTTCACTTTGTGAAGAGAGGCTAATAGCGCTAAGGTCACGTTTCACACAGCGGTCAGCGATGATGATGGCCGCGTCTTTCGAAGCTGGGTATAGTTTGCGTTATTTGTTGCCTTTTTTTGTATCTAAATAATTTAGTTGTTTCAGGGGCACCCAACGAGAATATAGTTCAAAACCACTTAAACATAGAATTGTTAAACGTATTTTCGTATTTAAACGGTAGATATAGGCATTTTTTTATCCCCTAGAAATTTTTCATCTGTTCGGATTTCCTAGCTGAAAGTCAAGAGATCCGAAAATTATAGGGATCAAAACTTACCTTGTCGAAAATTTTAGCCAGAAAAAAGGCTCCCGAAAATTCTAGGTGACCTTTTTAGGGTAAAAATCCGTTAAAAATAGGCAATTATACCATTTTTTAGATGACCGAAAATCCTAGGAGAGGCAGGCAAGCAAGAAATTTTACAACAAATGTTCCGAAAATTCTAGGTCTCAAATCGTCTTCCGAACAGATATTTTTCCGAAAATTGTCATTGGGTGCCCCTGTTGTTTTCGTGTAAGAGTTCCTGTTGTCTTTTATTTGAAAATGTCAAAGAAAGGAAAGAAGCAAGACGTGAATGACGATAGTTTTGAATCGTATGTGAAAGACTGCCTGGAAACGATTCGACAGGATGTCGAAACCATATAGAACAATTAAGCAAAATTCAAAGAAGACTTGAAAACTTTTGAACAAAAACTCCAAAGAACTACAGAGTCACTTAACCTAAAGTTCGATACTCTAAACGGCGAAGTCCACGTGGCTATGACCCAGAGTTGACAAATTGGAGGATGAGGTCAGTAAGTTCTAGCTCGCTACTAAAGTCAACCAAGCGTACGAAAGGCTTTTATCATTGGAACGTTACTCAAGAGATTTCAACCTACGATTTTACAACATTCCCGAGGACTCAAATGAGAACTGTATTGAAAAATTGAAGACCATACTATCTAATGATTTGGGCATCAAACCCGGGACAGAGAACGCGCATAGGATTGGGGGACCCAGGACTGGCGCTTCAAATGACCCGAGACCTGTCATTGCCAAGTTTCTTTTCGACCGGAACGTCTTCAGGTAATCCAGAATAAGAGAAGTCTAAAGAATGATGTGAGAATATCTGACGATTTAATCTGGGAGGACCGACAAAAAAAGAAGAAGTTAAAGGAAATCATGAAACAAGCGTATGAGGAGGGAAAGAAGCCCCGTTTTCACCACGGTAATTTGTATATTGATGGGGTTCTAGTGGCTAGACTTTCAATATTGCTTGTATGTATCGTTTGTGATAAATTTTATGCAAATGGCTCGAAACGAAAAAGATCCTGACTTGAATTTACAATCTTTTAATGACCACGGGATTTTCACTATTGATGAATTGAATGAATTATTCCCCGTTGTCAAGCCATCATCCTATTCTGCGTTACATTTAAGTATCATGCAGAAGTTTAAATCAACACTTTGCTGCCTTTATGCAACTTATTAGATTCTACTCCTTTTACTTTTGATTTTATTGGATGTTCGCAGACTTGGCTCTCACCTCATAGTTATTTAGATTGTTTTTTAATCCCAGGTTACGTCTTTATAAATGATAATCGTACTTATTCGTCTGGTGTCGGAGTAGGATTGTATATAAAATCTGATCGCAACTTTCATTTACAGGATGACTTGAGAATAGACACTATAGAAAATGTGTGGACAGAAACACAAGACTTAATAATTGGTGTTATATATAAACCGCCCAGTTTATCTAATCGTGATTTCTTAGATAAGCTTGAGTTATAAATAAATATTTCTGCAACATATATATTTGGTCGACTTGCCTCTAAACTGCCTAAATCAAATCGTTATTTTGGCTCTTTTTTAAAATCGACTGGATCTAAATTTTGTTTTACATTAATGCATGAAATGGAAGTTTTTCTAATTCTTGATAATCTTGATGGTAAAAAGTCGTTTGGTGTAGATAAACTTCACCCTTTTTTGGCCTCAGTTGGTGCATTTCAAATTGTTCGTCCTATAACGTATATAATTAATTAATCCATCAAGCAAAAAACTTTTCCTGATAATCTAAAAATCGCTAAAGTGATTCTTATCTTTAAACAGGCCAATGCTTGAAGCAAGTATCCAGAATTAAATACTTAGGTATCTATATTGACAGCCACCTATCCTGGCATGACCATATCGACTATGTTTGTGATAAAGTCGGTAAGAGTATTAAAAAAATAAGGTGGCTCCGTAATTAACATAGGCGCAATTAGTTGTGACGAAGTTTTCGTCATAACTTTTTCGCTTTTAGCTCTAACGCGATGGCTGCGAAACTTTGCAAAGAACAACAGATATCATTCGGCAACAGTGCGAAATATTCCGATTTCATTGACGGTAAATATATTTTGCTAAATTAGAGGTTAAAAGGACCCTACTGTTCAAAGAAAATCGCGTCTAGTAAATTCAAAAATAAATTACTATCAGGTAGAGGGAGACACCAGTTTGAATTTTCGGGACAAGTAAATTCAACGTTTGCTAATTCTTAAAACAAAAGTCGATTGCCTATCGTGCTATTCTTTAAAAGGTACTCTTTAGTTTTAAAAGCACTATAAATTACTCCAAACCTTGCTCTGAAGTAGAATGACTTGTTCCTAGACATTTTTAAAATATCCCTTGGCAGTTTTGGTTCAAACTTCTGTTCCATACATTTTAATGTATTGCAATACATTTTCAACGAGTTTTACTGCTGTTCGTTGCTTCCAACTCAGGAAAAAGGTATTGAGATTGGACGCTACCTCGTATCAGAGCTCAGATTGAACTGTCCAGCACCTTTGTTTATGACTACAAAATGAGCACGAGTGGCAGTTTCGCGAAGAATTCGCACCTCACCCAGGGGGGACGAACGACAATGATGCCCATTCCTGTGAACCGTATTACATCAAAGTGCAAAAAAAAAATTATCGCAAAAATACTGCCGGTGAATAAATTTACAACTCTGAAATTTTTGTCACTACTTCGTTCAATGAACGGGTAGTTTTTTCTTGATTATTTTGTTTTACTCTGCAATACGTGTTTATGCAGATCGGTTCGCAGACATGGGCATCATTGTCATTCGTTCCCCCTGACTGAGGTGCCAATTCCTCGCAGAGATGCCGCTCGTGCTCATTTTCTGATCATAAACAAAGGTGCTGGACAGTTCTATCAGAGCTTCGATACAACTGGTAGCTTACACTCCCAATACCTTTTTCCCGAATTAGAAACAACGTACAGCGGGAAAAGCCGTAAAGGATGCATTGCAGTACATTAAAATGTATGCAGCAGGAGTTTGAACCAAAACTGCCAAGGGAGATATTAAAAATGTCGAGGAACAAGTCATTCGACGTCAGAGCAAGATTTGGAGTAATTTATAGTGCCTCTAAAACTAAAAAGTACCTTTTAAAGAATAGCACGATAAGCAATCAGCTTTTGTTTGAAGAATTAGAAAACATTGAATTTACTTGTCGCGAAAATTCGAACTTAGGTGTCTTCCTCTACCTGATAGTAATTTATTTTTGAAATTCCAAAACAATTTCACAGCTAAATTTTGAGCGACTTTAACTAACGCACTTCCGCTCTAACGATTTTTCTGAAATTTCTCCGGTATATTTATTATATCAATAAAAGCCGATACCAGAAATTTCAGTAAAAAATATCAGCAAAATTTTTTACTGGAAGCGATTTTCTTTAAACAGTAGGGTCCTTTTAAGCGGTGTATGACATTTGCAGACTGCAGACTGCATAAGGCAGCAAGACTATAAATTGAATGAAACCAAAAGTATCGTAATAAAGGTGGCACCATCATCAACATTACCTTGTTTCGAGAAGTACATGTAAGGCCTAGAAGCGAAGTTTATATTTTTCATGCAAATAACACCGACCTCATTCCTAAAGAAGTTGTTGGCTGTTCTTGTCGTATTGAATTAGAGCAGAATAATGTCTGCCGACGTCACAAACTTGCTTACAGACGAAACTAAACTCTGGTTATATAAGTCTGTCTGTGAAACAGCGCCGGAATCCTTATTCTACGGGGGCCCTACCTGGATTTGAGTATGAGCAATGATTGGCCTGTTAAAAAAGCCATTGTCGATTTGCCTATTTAGAAATTCAAAATCCACTTCCGGTAATTCGTCGAGTCCAGGTAGGATCTGTTCGCTTTAGATGATTTAGCATATCGTTAAATACTGCTAAGATGAAATACGTCATTTAAAAGGTGTTAAATGTCCGTGATCTATCCTAGTTGTTTTGTTGACGCAACTGTGGTGAACATGCTCGCAATCTAAAAAGTCTTTTTTACAGAAGACTTCTATTTAGACAGTCATTAGTGGGCATTGTTACTTGTTATTATCAATTCACAATAATCAAAGAAGAATAAAGAACCAGCGCAATTAGTGATATGCTGGGTGAGTCAATAAAGAGTCGCGTCGGTGAAGAATAGCCAACAGCATCTTGGAAATGAGGCCAACTTGGCTACTTTCTCACTTTCACACGATGTTATATTTTTGATGGT